GTCCCCCAGCCATGGCCAGCCCTCTCTGGGCCCATGACTGCCACCTTACCGGCTGTCTCGGCAACCTAAAACACACCCACGTCATTGGTGCCGTCAACTCTTCTCAGCGCCCCTCTAAGCAAGTGGTTCCCAGAGCTCCACTTCCATCCCATTTCACACTGAGCCTCTGGAAAGATGAAGGGGCTGAGGGCCCTGTGAAATGGCGGCATGGTTGGTGCAGTGAGGGTTCCCCAAGAAGGAGACTCGAGAGGAACAGGCTCTTCTGGTCCTGCTTTCTCCCTAAATACCACTCCAGTGACCCATAAAGACAGAAGATGAGGGAGGGCAATGAAATTCTGGAAGAGAGAAAATGACTTAGCAGCCTGGAGAAACCAGACACCGGAAGTCCCTGCATGGTGCGAAGCCCGCAAGCAACTAGTGACCCGTACAGCAGACGGCGAGAGAAACTCCGGACCCATGGGCCTATGAAGAGGAGGGTCAGGGAAGAAACAACAGGAAAGGGTGAAAGTCTGTATAGGGAGCAGACACCTAGTCTCTTGTTTTCTTCCCAGCAGGGAGCAGGTGAGACACTGTCCAGAGAGGCTTGGTACTGGGGACACTGGTCCCAGCTGGGGTGGGGTTGGGCGGCACCCAGAAAATGGAGATCGAAGGAAATCCGCATGGCTGTAGATTCTGTTATCTGGAGCCCGCCCCCCCCCCCCCGCAGCCTGCACTGCCCAAACCTACTGATCCCCCACGCGAGGTTTGCCAGCCATCAGGCTCTCTCCCTCGCACGCAGAGCCTTCACTGCCTAAATGGTGTCTGGATTCTCAACATGAAAGGCCAGTAGCCAAGGATTACCAGCGTTTGAAGAAAACCTCTAAAGAAACACACACCAAAACAAAAAGGCCAGGCAGGCAAAGATGAAAACGTAAAGCCACCACCCAATCCCATGATAATTAATACCTTCCCAAAGATGAGAGGTGGCTTCGAGCTGGAAAAGAACTTTGATGGCAAAAATAGACACAAATTCATAGAAGAACTGGGAGTTAAGTAGACTATAAAGAAAAAAACCTGGAAAAAGGAGAGAGAGAAAATGGGAAAATTAATCCAGGATACACAATACCTGAGTATTAGGAGACCAGAAAGAGAACAAGAGGGTAGAAACAAGAAGGAAACTCCCCATGGTCCAAGATGGTGGGTTTTCAGATAGAAATTCCCAGCACAGTGAATGAAAGAAGCCCACAAGTAGTGGGGCGCCTGGGCGGCTCTGTTGGTTAAGCATCCGACTCTTGATTTCAGCTCAGGTCATGATCTCAGGGTTGTGGGATGGAGCCCCACGTCGGGCTCTGCACTCAGCACAGAGTCTGCTTGAGATTCTCCCTCTCCCTCTGCCCAGCCCCCCACTCGTGCTCTCGCTCGCTCGCTCTCAAGTAAATCTTAAACACACACACACACACACACACACACAAAATACTCTGTAACCTCAGAATCTGAGAGGAAAAGGAAGATCTCACAAGTCTCCAGAGAGGAAAGCTCAAGTCCTGAACAGAGGATGGTGGAGTCCAATGGCACTGGACTTCTCAACAAGAACGTGGGAAATAGAAAACAAGAATGCCTTTAAAGCTCTCAAGAAAACTGTTTCTGGAATTCTCCACTGAGCCACACTGTTAATTAAGGGTGGGAAAGAATTAGCTTCAGCAAAATGAGGGAGTTGAGGAAGAAGGGGCCATGGGATGCGCGGGCTCAGGGAAGCCCTGGGTGGCATGGCAGGACATGCCATGAGTGGAACCCAGTCCCTGGTGGTAAAAAGATACACAGGGGCGCCTGGCTGGCTCAGTCGGAAAAGCATGCAACTCTTGATCTTGGGGTCATGGGTTTGAGCCCCACGTTGGGTGTAGAGGTTACTTAAATAAATAAGCTTAAAAAAACAACAAAAACAGAGGCCCCAAATGGCTGCATTTAGGCCAAGTCACTGAGTAAGGACTTTATTATCTAACCCAATTGTACTTTCAGGCTTCCTAGAAACGTAGTCTGAACCAGTCAATCAGGAACTTTCTGCTTCGCGCTGATGCGGTAATCTGTCACGTGGGCCTTTCCCCATCCCCCAGAGGAACAGGAGGTACAGGAGGTGACCTGCCTAGTAAGACTGCCACCTGAGGGAAGGTGACCTTGCCTGGAACAGTCCTTTTCTTTTGCTAATAACTTCCTTGCCCCACCTGCCTTCCTGTAAAAACCTTCCATTTTGTACAGCTCCTCGGAGCATCCCCCCCGTGGGCCAGATGGGATGCTGCCTGATTCATGACTCGAGTCATAAAGGCAATTAGATCTTCACATTTACTGAGCTCAGTTTTTGTTCTTTAACAGTGGTCAGGCCTGAAAGGACGCTTACAGCACTTTCGGAAAATGAGAGGCTGAATTACTGTCAGAGCAACTTGAGCAGAGGGGGGAAAAAGCTGCAAGCAATTTTTAATTCCAAGAAAAACAGAAAAGTTGTCCAAGAAAGGAAATTAATGATGGTACACTCTGTGCCTTATCTGAGAACAGTGTTTACATAGTTCTGATGCTGAAATGAATACGGCTCTGCCTGAAACCCTGACAGGAGTCAACGGGAGGACCGCGGGGCAGGGCAGGCGTGCGTTCGGGGCGCGGGGCGGAGCGCCTGTGGCAGGACCGAGCACAGCCAGCGGGGAGCGCGGGCCTCCCGGGCAGGACGAGCGGGGCCGTGGGTGCGCAGCAACCCGCCGAGCCGCCGCTTCGCCAGCCCTCCGCAGCAGCTTGCTGTTAGGACTTCCTTTTACAGCCGAGGCGGAGAGGTTAAGTGGTTTGCCTAAAGTCACAACCCAGGCAATTGGGTTCTAAAGTCTGCGCTTTAAACCACCATGCGAGCCTGTAAGGTAGGACGCCCTCAAGAAGTAGCAGTGCGCAAGTCATCAACAATATGAAGACAGATACCAAATGCCACAGCTTAAAGGCTTAAAAGTGTTGCCTCCAGGGAGTGGAAAAGGGTAGGCAGTTTCATTGTTCTGGTAAAGCTATTTGACTTTTTACATCACGGACACATATTACTTTAAAATTTAATCAAAGAGGAGAAAAGCTAGGGCACCAGTGATTGAGAGGGAGCGGGTCTCCAGTTTGGACTGGCGTTGCCGGGCTGTGCGTTCTTAGATCCTCACCAAACCTGAGAGTGGGCATCGCCGGACGAGATGTTTCCAAGTTTCCTTCCAGCTCCTAAGGCTCTGGCAGGGAACAGGACCACTTAGAGGACACTTAGAGAACAGGCACCGTGGAGAGCAAGTGAGGGCAATGCAGGGCTGGATGGGGTGCCGCTCTGGGCCAGCCCCGAGGTGGCCTCTGTGAAGGGGCCTCCAGGTGGGCGAGTGCCCCCTGGGGATGGCCCGAGGCGGCGGGCAGGAGCGCTGTGGAGCCTTTCGGCTGAGACCCTCTGGGCGCTGCCCTGGGGAGAGGCTGCAGGGAGCAGATTAGTAGGCCCATTTGGGGTTGGGGGCAGTCCTTGGGCGAGGGTGGTGATGGCGACCAGGGTGAGGGAGGGCTGGGCCCAGGGTTCCCTTAGGAGGAGCTGTGGACAGCTGGTGCTAGCAGCCAGGATGCAAGTGTCCGGGACTCAGGAGGCTCCTCCCAAATGTCTGGTCTCCAGGGCTGGTGTGCAGCCCACCCCTCTGTCCGTGTTGCTCCTCTCAGCGCCCTCTGTGCCCACGTTTGCCCATCCTCCCTGGTCCCCCAGCAGCGGCCCTGGGTGCCTACATGGTCCTCATCCCTCTACCTGCGCTCCAGCTTCTCCTTGATTCACCTCCAGACTTTCATGCCCAGCACGCCTCCCCTTTGCGCCCCACAGCTCTAGTCTGTCCTTCCCTGTCACCAGAGTCACAGAACTAGAGCTCCCACCACGTCCCTGTCTTGCTCAAGGCGCCCAGCGCGCAGCTGCACGGCCAGCCTGGTGCTGCTCCCACTGCCAAGCCTTTGCCACTGCAGTTTACCCGAAGCCCGTGGAACTCCTGACGCTCCGCAGGCTGGTGACTGAGGCCGTGGACAGGAGCGGAGTGGGCAGGCGTCAGCAGATATCTGGGTCTCTGGGGGCCGTGCACCCTCCCCAGACGCCCTGAAGAGGTGGGGTGAGGCCCAGACCCCCACACCAAAAAGTGGAAGTCCTGCGGGCCTAGTGTGACTTCTCCAAGGGCCACTTGCCACGGGACTGACATCAGGGGGCGGTGCCCTCCTGGGGCCCCTGGCTGGTGTTGGCTGCCGCCAGCACATAGCGTGGGAAGGAAGGCGGCCGGGCGCCAGGCCTTGAGGAGAGAGGGGCCCGCCTTAACTTCATTAGTTTTGAGTCACTTTCACACAGATGACTCTTCTCAGTTATGTAACCATCTGTGGCCAGACCCAGGTGAGCCGTAACGATTTACCTTCACACGAGAGCCAAGGTTGCTGCGCTGAGTCAGAGTGAGTCACAGGGAAACCTCATTACCCTCTAGGACCTTGGAAAGGAACCGGAAGGTGTGATCATTCAAGTTGGCTGGGTCCTGCCGCCAGAACCAGAATATAAGCTTAGTACTGAAACCTGAACGATCTCTTGTGACTACTTTATAGACGTGTGTGTGTGTGTGTGTGTGTGTGTGTGTGTGTACATGTGTGTACGTATGTTTGCTTATTGGTATTTCTAACTTAGCTATAAAAACTATTTATGTGTAATTTTTAAAGTCCTTTCAAAAACATTAAAAACCAACTGGTCTAAGAAACAGCAGTTCTGCAGGGCTTGATCCCAGACAGGCTGGCTCCTTCGGACACATCTGTTCTTTCCCGAGTGCCTTTGCCCGGTAGCCGGTAAAGGGTGGCGTGTTTCCCGGAGCCCCCGAGCCCCCCAGGGATGGTGCGGAGTAGTGGGCCCTGGGCTGTGCTGCGGTCGTGAGCCCCGCTGGCCCTTCCCAAAGTGTCCAACCCCCACCAAGCCTGCAGCCTCTGCCCGGACCGTGTGTACCGTCTGCTTGCTCTCTGCCCCGCAGCTTCCTGGCCCTCATGGCTCGCGTGTTCGTGTACGGGACCCTGAAGAGAGGCCAGCCCAACCACAAGGTCCTGCTGGACCCCACCAACGGCTGTGCCGCCTTCCGCGGCCGGGGCCGCACGCTGGAGCCTTACCCCTTGGTGATCGCCGGCGAACATAACATCCCACGTCTGCTCAACCTCCCGGGGCAAGGGCGGCTTGTGCTCGGCGAGATCTACGCCGTGGACGAGCGGATGCTGAGCTTCCTCGACGAGTTTGAGGGCTGCCCGGACATGTACCAGCGCACCCCACTGCAGGTCACCGTCCTCGAGTGGGAAGGCGCGCGCGGGGCGCCCGAGGAGACGCCGGCCGCCGACGGGACCCTGCGGTGCTTCGTGTACAGCACGGTCACCTACGCGCCCGAGTGGGTCCGCCTGCCGCACCTCGACGACTACGACTTCCAGGGGGAGCACGGGCTTCGCTACAATCCGCGGGAGAACAGATGCCAAGCGCGAGGACCAGGCCTGCCCTGCTCCGCCGGGGGCTGGGGGACAGAGCCCCGACGATGAGACGCCCTCAGCCCAGTCTGCACTCAGTGCGCCCACGTAATAATGTCCTTTGAAACAAATACTTATAAAACTCAATCTGTGGGAAAAGGAACAATCTCTTTTTCAGCCGCAGCTGATTTTCCCAATATTTTGACATACTGATCACAAAATTATGCCTGAAGTCTGTCTAGCCTACAGTGCTTTGTTGCTTGCTGCTTCCAGAACGCCACGGGCTTGAATAGATAGGGAAAATTCAGGATCTTAATTCCCCTAAACGACATTTCAAGAACTCATGTCATATATATATATATATATATATAATTTTTGTTTGCTTTGAAGATAACGTTTAAAATGTAGACTTCGTGTAGCAGCTAGATTTTAGCAACCCTACTGTATTGATTCTAAATTGTAGCAGCAAGAAGAATTTTTTAAACTGATTTGGGTTATCTCAGTGTAGTAAAAGAACCTCAAGAAAAACACTGTGTTTGGGGTAGTTTTAGAGCATATAAAACATTAGTATGCACAGTTTCCAGATCAAGCTTATTAAAGAAGTTATTACTAAAGATGATCATATAATATTAAACTGGATGTTTTGGGAAACCAAACTTAAAAGTGTTGGTACTATTGTTGGCTTTTTGGGGGGGGGAGGGGGAGGGGGCTTTACTTACTTGGTAGAAGGTTCTTTTCGTTCTAATCTAGCAAAATCACAAGCCACCTCCTTACCGGCAGATGCTGCTGAACACCCCCATTTCAGATGGAAGCTCACCTGAGCCCGAGGCCCGGTGGCAAGGTGCCGTCCCTGCCTCCGAAGGGAGCAGCATTTGGGGGAGCAGCAAAGAACAGGGGGGCCTTTCAGAGAAGAACCAACACATTAGTAATTTGTTCTTCAGGCCTGCCAGAAAGCTTATAGCTTCCAAATACAAACAGCACTTGAAATAATTTTAGCAAGGCACGAAATACCAATTACTACCCACCTCTATCTGATAATCTGTCAGCGTTGATTCAGATCAGCGCACGACTCTGCCTCTGCTTACTTACCAGCAAAGTATGAAATGTATTCCAAGAATTTCAGAAGCAGCTGAAAATGCAGCTGCTGATCCTTAGTAACCTCGTTCTCCGCTGGGAGAGCTCCCTCGCTCTTCAACTTAATGGTAGCCTGTGATCACTAACTGCATCTGGCATAAAAACAGGATCAGTATTTTTAGCCCTATTTTCTTAATTGGAAACTTGCTTCACAAAAACACAAAAAGGCAAGGATGGGTATCAACTGATGGGCTTGTGGCAGCCACACCCACCACTCCTGGGGTGAGAGAGCCCCAGCAAAGCCTGGGGGATGGGGAGGGGGTCCATGGGCCCCGCACTCCCCCGTGGGAGCTGCGCAGGAGGGATTTCCAAACTCCCCAGCGGCGGCCGGCCCTGTGCGGGCTTTCGGAAGTTCAGAATAGCCGCAAATGGGAACGAGGTCCTCAACCAGGAAGCAGCAGGGAAACAGATTATTAAGGTGGTAAATGATAGTTCAATGAGACGAAGGCGAAGAACTGGGATTTACAGAAAGTTTTTTAAAGGATCACAATGGAACGCTAGTGTTTCAAGGCTACTGGCACAGCCAGTAGCCTCTTATGTACATTGTCTTCATTCAAAAAAAGGGCAAACTAATATTTAGACAAATGCTCAGCTTTATTGATTTAATTTTGACACTAGGAAATCTCACAGCAGAAGTACAAATCATATGTACAAGTATTTATATCAATAAAAATTTCCATTGGTGATTTTTTGGCAGATTGTTGGTTTTGACTATATGTGGAATAAATATGACCATGTAAAATCTGCTGCACAGGGGTGTTCTTGCAAAATGCTTGAATAAATTGAGTGTGAAAGAATAATAATACAAATGGCTAATTAAATTGGGTGACGACTGAAAGGCTATAAATACTTCATTCCAGTTCCACGAGCAGATCTCCTTCTCCAACTGTGTCTCCAGCTTTACAGTGCACTGATTTCACCTTGAATTAAAAAAAAAGAAAGAAAAAAAGAAGAAGGGAGAGTCAGAATTACTAACTAGACCATGACTTGTCACCCGTGTCTGGGAATGAAGAGACGTTTCTTCACGGGGCGGGGAAGCTACATGGCACCCTAGAAGCCAGACGCACTGATGCTCCGTGAGCCCTCAACAGCCAGCCCTCCCAAGCTCTTCGGCGGCTTCAGGCGGTAGAAAGGTCTCTGAGGGTTACTGGTATACTTAGTGTTCAAACACAAAAACAAACCCACCACACAATTATACAAGCATCAGAAAAGAGACTCCTAATTAAGAGGAGAAAGTCCTTAGCCTGAGATCATAAACTTCCTTCTGAAGGGAAAGGAAGTGCTGCGGAGCTGTGTGGCCGTGTGGACTCGGTGGCCTGACGTGGAGCAGGCACTGAGCCCCCGCGCCACTGTACCCTCACGGTCTGTGGATTTATCTCGGCTCTAGTCAGGTTTTGCTTTCCCGATTTTGTATTCTGCTTTAAAATGGGCGGGCCGTATAGAGTGGAGAAGAGGCAGTCTTCTGACTTGTTGGGAGGTTCTTGCTTGGGCGTGAAGACAGATGGCGGGCTCGACCTTCCTGGGCATCTGGGCACCCGGCAAACGGGAAGAACGTCCGCGACACCGGGTTCGGCGCCCTGGCCTGCGTCCCCACGGCTCCGCTAGGAACTGGAAGGCCAGAAGGGTCCTTCTCTCTTGAAGTCCGGCCCCGGAGCCCTCAGAACCCCGTGAACCGATGCAGTGACGATTTCAAAGGCCTGGGGGGTGCCACTGGCCCTGCGTGGCTGCCCATTCTGGTCTGGGGCCTCCGATGTTTGCAGAGGGCGCATCTTGCATGCTGTGATGACGACACGGAGGACCGGCGTCCATTGTGAATTTTCTCCGAGAGGAAAAATGGCTCTCCAGATAAGAACTGCCCGCCCCGAGGCTCGCCAGGGCCTGCTCCTCTGTGCTGGGGCTCCGGCCACTCCTGGGGCGCAGCAGGAAATGGGATGGGCAGGAAGGACTCCAGCTGATAGCGGTCAGGCCAAAGTACAGGTTGACCCGGAGCCCATCAACGCCCTGAAAGCGGCTCTGGGCCGCCGATGGCCAGGGATCGGCTGAGCCTCCGGAGACATGAGACGCAGAAGCCACCATGAGACCGCAGGGACCCCGAACACACTGACAGACGAGGGTTCCACGCTCCTTCGGGGAGCTAAGGCCGCGTTCATTTTTGGGTCAGTACCTCAGTCCGGCAACAGGGGCCCTCGGCATGCATCGGACATATATAGATGTTCTGGGTCCCTCCAAATGAGGCCAAGTTCCCATCACGCCCGGACATTTCATGACACTAAGGCAGCAGAAATGTTAAATAATCCCACGGAGCAAAACCAACAATTTCTACAAGAACAAAGACCATTTGGGGTTCACTTTTAGGAAAAGAATCAGACGTAGGAGGCAGGATTCCCCAATCGTGCCCTTCTCTCCCCAACACCCTTGCAGCCGGACTAGCCAGCTCCAGGCCCGCCCGGAACTGGGCCTCTGTGTCTCTCTGATGCAAATGACAGTGTGGGCCGGCAGTGCCCCTCTGCCAGGGCACCCATGTCCCCAGGCCTCGATCTCCGCTTCCCACGGCGCAGGCCATGGCAGCCTCTGCCCTGTCCTTGCCCCGCCCCACCCTGCCTCGCTCCAGGGTGTGGACCCCCCCAAACCAAACCGTCCTTCAGAAAAGGCTCCCTCTGCTACGGGTGGCATCTTTGCAGAAGCAGGAAGAATAATGAAGTTGTTATTAAAAGGACTTTTCTATTTTCCTCAAGGAGAAAATACATGTGAGAAGTTTTACTCTTAACCAGTTTCAGGGCAAATACAATTCCATTTTTTTTTTCCTCCCTAAATCATTATGTCCCACATGTGTACATGGGGCTTTCAGCTCCTCTTGATCTAAAATTGAATTGTTCTCTTCGTGGAGAGTTGAAGAGTTACATTAATTCTTGCAATCTCTAAAACCAGTTCCTGCCATGTCACCTAAGTCTCAGATGACTGCCTCCGAGACAGATGTAAACATTAAAAATTAAAGACACTTTAATTCGAAAGACATTAAGGTGAAGAACAATTGTTCTTTGACTACCTGCACGTCAGACAGGCCCTCCATGAGGCTGGGACACACGGGTGCCAGGCGGAAAGCGCGCGCAATCTTAACGTCCTGCTCTGCGGGCGCGAGGAGCCGGCGGGGTCACCTCCACGGCCCCTTCCAGGCCCAACCATCCAAGATCCAAAGGCGGAGGTTCTGCTTCCTGTCACAGAGCTGGCAAGGGCTGGGGGGAACTTGGGGACATACCTTGCCAGTTTTCCCAGCTGTCATACTGTTCTGCATTTTCATGGCTTCAATCACACAAATTTCCTGACCTTCTGCTACCTGGAAAAATGAACAGAAAAAAGACAAGTTTTAAAATCCTTCTGATTTTGCACCACCACCACTCAGGGGTGAAGCCATCAAGAGATTCTTTGTCAAATGCTCTGAAATTTGACCCAAACAGCAGCAACCTCTAATACTTCATGTTCCAAGTGAATCTTTGGGGGGCAGCAGAGAAGGGCCATTCCCTCTGTCTTCACCAAGTGCCACAGAGATGTGGCCAAAATGGAATGTTTTCCTCTTCTGTGCAATGTCCGGATTTGGCACATCTCTACAGACGGGAAGACCTGTGGTTTCTGGGGGCTGGAAAGGAGAGAGGAGTGGTTGCTGATGCACACAGGGTTTCTTCTGAGTGCGGAGGAAGTGTTCTAGATCGACGAGGGGGGTGGCTGCACAACACATTCCGGGAATAGGCGAGAACCACTGAATGCGCACGGTAAGGGGCCGGCCTGCGCTGGACGTGAACTTTATCTCCACAAGGCTGTCACCCAAAACTGGAGTGTGTCCGGCAGCAGCCTTGGGGAGCTGGGAAGAGCAGCCAGCCAGGGAGACCACTGTCCCAACCTCTGAGACACATGCCAAGTAACAACAAGGTGGCTTCTGGAAGGTGCCTTCCGACGTGGGGAACGACTGCTAGCAGCCTGCCCGGTCCTCGCGCGGAGGCCGGTGGCCCCCAAGGGCACTGGCTCAAGCTCCACCCGCCTTCACTGGGAGGGGGGGGTCCACGCGGGGCGGGGACTGAGCTCCCGGGGTGAAGCCGCTCTGTATACTCTTTCCATTGCCCTTGATGGGTTAGCACCGAGGAGCTGGGCCCGATTCTCCTCTCTCCGTGAAAAGGGCCTCCCAGTCTTCGACACGGTAAAGCTGAGTTTCCTCGGGCCACTGGCTGGCTATTCTGGGGTGCTGGTGGACACACTGGTGGGGGGCTCCCGGGCCTTCCCGGGCTCACACCAGTGCGGCTGTGCTGGCCCAGAGTCGCAGAAGTGCCCGGAGAGTATTCTTCCCCACACTCCCCAGATGATGCCCGCTCCCTCCCGGCCCCCCGCGCGGCACAAGCTGTCTTGCTGGCAGTCGGGGCTGCCTGCGCCCCGCGCCTTCCTTCCCTCCGCTGATCAGGTGGTGGGCTGCCTTTTCCTGGCACAGAAATCTAGGAAGAGAGGGGATGCCAAAGCCTCGGTGCTGGCACAGAGGAGAGACGCTGTGCTGGGGAGCTGGGCTCTGCAGCTCCGTGCTCCCTGCCCGCTTGGATTCATTTGCCCCCCGGCAGCTGCATTCCATGGAGAGTGAAGGGTCCGCACGCGAGAACTGCTCTTCGCAAGGACAGCGGGCAGGGCGTCAGCACAGCTACACCCTCAAGTCATCCCTTCAGGGCAGGCAGGGACCCCGCGAGACCGGAGAAGGGCAAGGCCCCCGGGGCCGCACCTGCCAAGCAGCTACCCCCCGCCCCCCGAAAACGCAGCCAGACCTGCAGCATGCTCGCTCAGAGGCCGAGGGGCCAGAGCGTCCCGCCCAGGCCCCAGCGGGCGTCTGGAAATGGATCTGAAACTCAACGTGACAGAATCGAAGTTCTCTCCACAGAGCAGTCATCGGCTCACCACCTCTGGGTTCTGGTAGCTCCCTGCCTCCGGGTGGACGAGTGCCCATGGCGGAGACCTGGGTGAGCTTGGTCCCCGGCCCCCACCCAGTCGGGCTTCCCCTGCTGTTGCCTGAAAGCCCATCCCCGGCCTGGTGGGCTTCTAGGGGGTGGGGGGCACAACCTACCCCCTCTGCGGCAGGTTTGACGCCCTCAGCTGCTCAGCCCACAGCTCAGAATTTGCAGGCCAGACAGAGCGCCCCTCACTGGTTCTTTATGGGATCTTCAAGTAAGCGGATTCACAGTTAATGCAAATAGGAGAAAGAAATGAACCCGGGAGATTGCCAGTGGTCACAGCAAAGGCGCACAGGCCACCCTGACAAGGATGCCACAGGGCCCACGCTGGAGGGCGGTGGAGCCTGGGCCATGACTCCACACAAGGCTCCAGCCGGCCACGCCAGTGCGGAGATCAGGGCCCGCGGGAGACTGGCCACAAGTTCACGGGGCTCTGCTCCCGTTGCCCGCTGGCTGTCCCTCCTGGCTGGCTCTGGGGGCTCGTATCCTGCCTGATTCCCTGGTGACTCAAGTGGCAGGGCCCCAATCACACTACTCAGAAAAACAAAACCTCTCATTCAGACAGAGGTAATCAGCAGAGGTGGGAAAGTCCCAAAGTTAAAATATTCTCTTCTTTTTTATTGTGTCACTCTGGCAATTTGATTAAACGGACTTCAGAGAAGGTGCCTCTGGGATTCACAGGGGCCGCCCGGCAGCACTGCCCTGAATCTACGTCCGATCCTCGATCCTCACAGCTCCAGCCTCCTGGCCCCCTCCTGGCCCCCTCCCTTGGTCTGCAGGTCTCCATTTCCACTCCAGTCTGGATGGAACTTCGATTCACTGCTCCCTCTCTGCTCACTTAGGCAATGAGTTTTATGGTCTGTTTTCACTCATTCATCCCTAGAAGAGAAAGAACTCTTGGAAGTTGTTCCTTGAAACCCCACAAAATAGGGAAGGACGTCTTGGTCAGCAGAATCGTGTTACACGCACACATGGACTTGATCTAAATTCACACTCTTTCATCCCTCAACAATCCCAGCCAGAGGAGCTCCCAGACGGCGGGCTGCACTGTCACGGGTGCTCTGCCCGGGGTTGTGTGTCCCCCCTCCCCGTGTCCCCCTCGATCGCGGAGCCTGGGGTGCACCTGCAGGGCTCGGAAGGTCATGGGGACACCTTCCACGTTTCCCCGGGTGCTCGTGGGCAGGCAGCGCTGGGACAGCTCACATGGGAGGGCACGGCCACCGAGGGCTTTGCGCGCACACTTCTCTAACACTTTTGTGCATCATCTGATAAAGGCTCACTGATTGTGACAGGAGGTCTCCAACATTGGGCTTACAAAATGGTCACAAGCCTCACAAGTCGTTTTGATAAACCTAGTCAGCCTGATGTACTTCCCTGCTCCCTGTCTAATTGGTGTAAAGTTTGGAGGCCCAAGTCCTGTATCTTTCATCCGGCTTATTGCGTCCTCTCCTTTGACATGGGGTCAAGGTTCACATTCGCATCCGATTATCAGAGCGCACTCATTAAGCAGGGGCCTGCCTCGCTCCAAAATGAGTAAGCTGGAGAGAAAACCCGGCCCATTTACTCAGCAGATTTTCGCATGTTTAGGAGGCTGCATGTCGCCCGGCAGTGCTCCGTGCTGAAGAGTTTCAGACATCTCCAGCTGATGATTAATTGTGAGTGATGGGAAATAAAATCCAGTCAAGCCAGCTGCTTGCCATGGTCGGCAAAATGACTCTAATGGATATAGGCTGCCAATTTTCCAGTTTTACCGGCAAGTCTTCCAAGTGTAATTAAGGGAAGGTATAAATGATATGGAAATCTATCAAGTCCCGCTTATTTTCAGAGGACTCCCCCAGAGACTTTTATCTTCAAGCTTGGAGTATGCTTTGTTGTGCTAATGATTTAAACCCCTTCTTATTTCTGATTAAAGCCCCCAATATCCTTCTACCAAGTTCGCCTCACTCCTTCCCCAAAGATGAAAAGGCCCAGAACCTTCTCCTGCACACGTCCCTCTTGGAAAGCACGCTAAGACTGGGACACGCTTGGCAACTTGTATCATTCAGACTGCGAATGCATGAAGAAAGCTCAAAGAAAGCGCAGGGAGAGAACGAGCAGAGAGGGGGGAAGAAAGACCTCCACCAAACATAAAAGGAAGCCCCCAAAAGTCCAGACTTAAAAGCTGTGCTCGAGAGCAGACATTCATCAGAAGGTGGTGTAGCTCACTAATGTTATTTGATTTGGAATAAAAGCATGAAAATGATGGCAAAGGCCTAAAATTGGAGATGTAAAGGCTGACTGCACAGTATTCCATTTCTCAATTTCATCCTTCAGAGCCACAAAATGGGGGTGATACAGTGATGGGATGAGGTTTACAGTAACAGCTGTGCTCTTCCCACACAGGGGAGGCCCTTCTAATGGGCGAAGGTCTGTTTTGAACAGACGGGGAGTAACAAAACAAGGTTCCCTATTAAGAGTGTGCAGTCCTATTTCTGATGAAGAAAATGAGTATGGGAGTCAGATTTCCTCAAAAATGGCCCCTATACCCTCCTTTGTCGTCCCAAACCAGGGCTGTTTTAGAGGGGTTATCCTTCCGGTGGCGGGAAGCGGACAGAATGTCACGGGGGGCTTCCCCCCCAACCCCCGCCAGCCCACTTCTCCAGCAACTGTAAAGAACACACAGGAAACAGTGCCAGTGGCATATGGCTTTCTACTGCGCTAAACATTCACACAAAAGACAGGTTCATCCGTCATCGCGGTATCTGGATAAAAAATTAGCTCCTGATGGATGGTATTTGGAGCTTACCTGCTGCTAGTACATTACGAGAGAAACACAGGTTTTGAAACCCACATGACATTAGAGAGTGCAGACCATGAAATGCGACACGTGCAGGCGCACATAATGTACGCCAGATTATACAAAATAATAAATAAGCTATTTAAACCCTCTGCCTAAAATTGGGCCCGCTGCAAGGAACCCTGGGTCACTTCTACACAGGCCAATTAATGCACAGCATCTGCTGTATCGAAGCAGGGCATGAAGCACTTCCGAATGATTTCAGCAATTAAAAGAAAACTGTTTCCTGCCTGTTCAGACAGCAACTGTTTCAATGCAAGAGTGAGCACCAAATCACTGTGTGCAGCTGAAAAATTAAGTCCCCTTTTTGGGGAAGAGGGGTGGGTGAGAGGAAAAATTTTTATGGAAAAGGGAGCCTTCTTTTGTTGTCCTACGTTCTGTGTTTTTCTGCCAAATTAGACAGAAGGCTCGGAGGGCTTCCCGGCCCGCCACAGTCCCCCCTTCTGCTGCACCGGGCCACCCGAAAGCACGGATCAATATCAACCCTGCTGACGACGCCACAAAAGTGAAAATCCTTCA